ACAATGCTTCTCGCTTGCGTACTTATCCTGCACAGCATCAATCTAATACGGTTGATAACTTGGCTTTAAACAATGCTTCTCGCTTGCGTACTTATCCTGCACAGCATCAATCTAATACGGTTGATAACTTGGCTTTAAACAATGCTTCTCGCTTGCGTACTTATCCTGCACAGCATCAATCTAATACGGTTGATAACTTGGCTTTAAACAATGCTTCTCGCTTGCGTACTTATCCTGCACAGCATCAATCTAATACGGTTGATAACTTGGCTTTAAACAATGCTTCTCGCTTGCGTACTTATCCTGCACAGCATCAATCTAATACGGTTGATAACTTGGCTTTAAACAATGCTTCTCGCTTGCGTACTTATCCTGCACAGCATCAATCTAATACGGTTGATAACTTGGCTTTAAACAATGCTTCTCGCTTGCGTACTTATCCTGCACAGCATCAATCTAATACGGTTGATAACTTGGCTTTAAACAATGCTTCTCGCTTGCGTACTTATCCTGCACAGCATCAACCTATAGTGCACGACTCCTAGGCTTTCAAGAAGAAGATTAAGATTTAAATTCAAAAGTAGATTCAAACACCATGTACCAGTACCACCAAATGCACATCCAGTCAACGGAGGGGCGCGCGATTCACGCGTGACCCCATTACAGCTCTTCGCGCACGCAGCATCGTTTCAGTACCTTTCTGTTGGGGTGGACCAAATAAATTTGCAGTAGTCCACGGCTTCACCATGAATTAGAGCAAATCTCTTTACTATGGCAATGAAGCCCCTTCGAGAATAGGAATTCACATCACAGGCCAACAATTTACTTGTCAAACGTTCAATATAAGAATGACTTCAAATTCTTTGATCCTAGAAGATGCAATCCTTCTGTAAACGTGCATAGTTGGTCATTTCTTTACTTATTCTACTTATAAGTTCTTATTCCTTCCATTATGATGGTAGGCATGACGTTTTAGCGCTTTTTGCCCGATGACCTCATTATATTGGCGCGAATCGCACCTCACCCCCAGTCTCAACGCTCTATGTTGTGAGGCATTTCTTCTTGGTTATTTGATAGTGGTACAAGTAATGAACAATGCTCGACCAATGTTAAGTTTGGTCTGCGTAGCAAGGTCCAGTGTGGGCTTTGTCATTCGTGTTTTTTAGTCGCCACTGTTTCGAAAGATAGTCTTTTAGTGTTAAACAATCCTGTTTCTCGAATCCGCCCCAACATCAACCTTCGTTCAGAATCTCATTGAGGAGTTTTGAATGCGCACTTGTCCGATACAATGACCTGCAGTGGCAAGCGGATCTAACCAGTGGTTCTATCCCCATGGAATCTGGCATCAATGGACCAATGGACAGGTCTCGGAGAGTAGAAACGCTTGCACTTCAACACTTTAGAAGTTCTCTTGCCACTACACCACCTCTGTCCATAGTAATGATTTGTAAAAGGATAAAGTCTTGGGACACTAATCGATCTCGTCTGAGGGATGCGCCCACGCATTCGACTTCCATTCAGTGGTGATTAATAGGTGGTTGGTGAGGCAATGCTACGATGTATCGTTTTTCTGCCGACAACTTCAGTCTGAAAGGGTGATACAACAAAATGTGACGCCTTCGAGCATTAAGAAGTACGGAACTGCACTGTAGTGTAGTAAAGGTATAATCACGCTTCCTCCAACTGCAGGCTTTCCCTCTTAAGCTTTTTATTTCTTGTTGACTATGTAACATGTCACTTGATTAGGCCAATCATGGCATTCTGCTGGTTAATCTCGTTCAAATAGATTGTATAATTCCGATATTTAAAGTCCTGGAGGGTCATACAAAACACAAGCCATGCTAGATAATGAAATTCACCTTGAGGGTCACCTCTATGACTTTCAGGCTTCGCTGGTAAGGACGACTTCGAAGCAGCACTCATTGACTCATTGGGTGATCAGTACAGTGACTACCGTGCTGAAATGAAGACTTACTACTACGCAGCTCATGGTTTTATGCCTGGAGATCCAGTGAGTGCAGAATCGTTTGCACATAGAAGATTCTTCAGAACGTTTACTTACTGAGTGTTTTAGGAAAAGTTGAAAACTGAAGTTTTATTCCCAGCTCGCGACAAGTTCCTCAATTTTATCACGAAGTTCCTCAAGAACAACGCCTCTAACGGTAAGGCTTTTATGCAGTAACAGTTGAGGCGTCTGTAATATCTCAGAGGTTGTAAGACTGTCTAGGTATGAGGTTAATTTTCGTCATATAAGAACATTAGGTACTCTTTCGTTATCAGTGGCTAGTAAATAACGATTTGAAAGAGTGCAGAATTTGGACTGTATTTTATCCTCATGATTCCAAAAACTGCTCTCACTTCAGTCGTTTTCTAAGGTCATGACCCTCTGTTCAGAACTGTGATTTAGAAATACCTTCACTTTTCTAGTATGGCCTATACGATTCACTAATTAGATTTTCTTTATTCTCACTCGTACATACCATGTTTGCTCTGCTCTAGAGTCGCAGATATGTGTAATATATGACAATATCGAGCAATGAATACGATAATATGAAATGAATCGTTGCTTGTTTAGGCTATCTAATAGGAGATAAAATTTCGTGGGTGGATGTGCTTATCGCAGAGCACATGGCCGATATGAGCAGAACTGTTCCTGGATTTCTTGACCAGTTCCCAGAGGTGAGTTCCTGCTCGACTCCCTTATTACTAAGAACCTTAATTCATAATGCGTGGTAGTTCATAGTTTGTCGCACTATAACTTTACAATGCTAGGAGAAATTAAATGGCCCACAAGTAGCTGCGTTAATTTGATGAGTTTAAAAACATTCTTGGTGCGTGCAGCACATAGCAGGATAGTCAGTAAGCCATCGTCATGTATGCTATGCGGTATAAGGCACAATCTGCTCGTCTGTTGAAGAACGCTTGGGGCACTTATCACTTTGGTTGTTTCATCAGCACTAATTTAGTTGTCAAATGATCGGTGCTGAGAGGGGTCATCGTCAGAAGCTGATACTGAGAGGGCTGTAACGCGATTTCTTGGAAAAGTAATAGGTTGTATCCATTTCGTGTAAACTTTTCGAAGAAATAGTCGCACTCCTAATGTGATCGTTTTCCTGAAGCAGCAATGCGCAACTGATAAGATGTCGTAGCCAAATTATTTGCCACCTTGATGTATATATCGTTTATTCAAAAGTCCAATAAAGTTTTCTAACCGCAAGTTTTAGGTCAAGGAGCATATGAATAAGGTGCAGGAGAATCCAAAAATCAAGAAATGGATCGAGACCCGCCCTCAGACTTCGTTCTAATTTTCAGATCTCTATGTAACGAGATTTACGTTTGTTACAGTCATATCTATGTGTTATAATAATCCCGTTGTTACTTTTCATCTATTGGCTTCACTTTTTCACTTTTCAATAAACGTGTGGTACAATGTTTGCGGTTTCTATCACATATTGTCGGAAACCACTAGTTCCGTTCCTACTAACTTCCTCCTCCTCCGATGTGGCACTGATATTTACGAGATCCTACACAAAATGCTCTTCTTCTGCACCTTCGGATATATTCATCCGCAGCTCCACCTTATTATCCTGAATCCGTCGCGTATAACTGTCCTTCACAATAAAATCGCTGAAGAATTGGGCTTTTACCGTTGTGCATGCAGTGCATGCAGTTCCTCCCAAGGAGCCACTGTTGTATGTAGCGAGATGTGTGCATTGTGTAGAAAGTGTGGCTTGAGTTATTCTGTGGGAAAACCCTGGAGTTGGGGTGTGATTTTCGTAGGAAGTAGCTAATGTAAGCAGGGACGTGTCTTGGCTACATGAATCATCAGCGACCCTGCAACAAAAAAACCAAAATGAAGAGGAAGAGAGTAATGATTTCGTGTTGTCCATAGGGTGTAGCACAGCATAGGTGATTCATTGTAATCTATTTGTACATCCATGAATTCTCCTCCTGTAGTGACAAACAGCTGTAGGTCGAACTTACTGAAGGTGAAAATGGAGCTCTAAAGATGGTTTAAGATAAAAGTTTTCCCTAGAAAACCCTATTCACATAAAATTGAAAGACAAATTTACTCGAATAATCTTACACGAGTTATTGTTGTTTTATGATAGATTTTTCTGAACAGAACAACCCTAAATTGCATTAATACTACAGAAGTAAAAGCCGGAAATTTAAAGATATTGTTAAACATGAAAAATTTCCCTTTCAAAAGAGCTATTCATGAAAGTTTAGACATGTTCTTTCAGTCTTCCGTGTTTACTGTGGGAACCCATGTTTCCGTCAAAGAAACCAATTCCCTCCCNCCCCCCCCCCCCCCCCCCCCCACCGTCAAACTGTCCCAACTCTCATCAAAATCGTTTTTCTCTTTTTTTCGAGGATTTTTGTGGGAAAGTGAACTTTGAAAGGCATAGGGTAGTAGTAGATGTGGTGATTCTTGGTGAGATTACGAATGGAAAGGGGCAACTTTCCTCACTTGCAACATCCAAACAGGTCCACTTGAAAGGTCTGTGGTGCTACACGTGGGTTTACTAAACACATCACTTTTCTTGACTGTTTTCTTTGGATGTGATTTCTAAGCAGAGTGCAAACAGAGGGTCGCCTCTTCCGAGAAAGAAAGGCCCTTCAGCTTAAGTTAATGTCTGGGAACGAGATATGCCCAAAATTTGAACTTTCTCACTTACCAAAAGATCACACACTACAACGCTTCCAAGTTATTTTTCTAAATAAGCGTATTGTAGCGCACTCCTTTGAGGAAGCATACGAACAAGTTGGATTGCTCAGTAACGAGGTCTCCGCCGCCACTGTGAATACTGTGTTTCTGAATACTTCGAAGAATCAGAAGGCATTGACGCCGTTTACTGGACTGGCCGATCAACTCAAGAGTTCTACAGTGAGGGGGTATCAGATTTGCCTCACCAGTACGTTGTGGAATGTAGTCAGTAGCTCAGATTGATGAAATAAAGCGACAGCGACCGATTTTGTTTGTCTGACAGGATTAGTAGCTGTTCTTTGATGTGAAACTTTTCCGACCAAAGACTGTAGTGACTTGCCAATGTGTGCACGACCTTCGACATGGCTGATCAATGGTCGCTGACAATTGTCAGCGCAATTTGCCCGACTCGTGACGTTTTTATAAAGTTGCGATCGGTACTACGAAATTGCCCATTGCAATGTAGTGCTTCTACCGGCTATCTTCGTCTGCAGCCTTAAACTGTCTTAAGTTCTATTGAACTAAAACCCAATGATGAGCAGCAATCCTACTGCTGTATCTTACTGCTGTGTAACATAAAAAAAANNNAAAAAAAATGTCTCAAATTGAACTGCTCTCAACCTACTCCTTCTCCTCATCCTTCAAAGAAGTGCATACTTGTCCTTAATTCTCGTCATTATAAACAGATGCTCCTAAACAGCGCTCGTTCAAATTCAATGTGTCTCCTTTATTTATCATTCCAAAGGAAAATTAGGCTCGTCGGTAGAACAACCACTTTCAAAGTCTCTCTATACAACACGGAGAGAAAAGAGATCGTCTCAGAAAATAGGTTATCTTCGATGGACCTCCAGTATGGTTCTTCGACTCCATTCCTATTCCGTTTTCGCGATTGTCGTGTTGTGATTATAGCGCTATAAAAGTTTAGTCTACTCAAATGCTTTTGTATTCTGGCAATCAGAAAAATTTTTAGTCAAAGCTACTTGCAGTGAAGCCAATTTTCAGAATGGTCCACTACAGACTGAAATACTTTGACGGCCGTGGCCTTGCCGAAATCATTCGTCAGGTGAGATGACATTCATATGATATGGCAAATATGGCTAAACATTCATAATATTAAACAGCTTAAATATGTAAATAGCTTTTTGGGAGCAGTTCAATTGGAGAACTGATTATAGCACTCTGAATCTTGAAAGTTGCTTTCCTATGCGTTCAGAAATTTTGCAGATATTTGCCGTTGCTGGGCAGGATTTCGAAGATGTGCGATACAGTTTTGAGGAATTCCCGAAGCACAAAGCAGGTTAGCTTTTCTGGTAAAATGAACAGTTGGAGCGGAATGTATTGAATCTCGATGAAACCGACTATACATAATGAGGTATTCAGAACTACCATTTGGTCAGATGCCAGTACTTGAATTTGATGGAAAACAACTCGCCCAGTCAAGCGCCATCGCTCGCTACTTGGCTAGGCAATTCGGTAAGCGGGGTCTACTAAGAAGTTAGAAAAACTATGGTGACAGTCTGCTTGAGGTCTCGCCGGCAAGAATGCCTTCGAAGAAGCGCTCGTAGATTCGATCGCTGACCAACTCAAGGATTACTTTAGGGAGCTTCGTCCATTCTACAGGGCTTTGCATGGGTTCGATAAGGGCGATCTGGTCAGTCCTCACCCAAATCTGATGTTTCGATTCTTATTGTCATTTGCTACTCTTATCATGAGGCATTTTCTGAATATTCAAGTAGGTGGAAATACTGCCAGTACTGTGATTGCAAATGTTATTTCAGGATGCTCTGTTCAGAGATCTTTTTATGCCAACCCACAGGAACTTCTTTACTCTCATGACAAAGTTTCTCGTTAACAATAAGTCGGGTGAGTTATTCTCTTCTGTGCCTCAGAGAAAGTGAAGCCTCCTAAGCTGCTTGAGCAAACTTTTATTTTGCGTTGTCATAAAAGAAATCTGCTCGCTAAGGGCAACTTACTGTTCCGATCAATCTATACTAAGGGTGCTCAATCTATCTTACTTTACCCATTGGTCAGGCATCTTTCCCATTTGTTGACCGTATCACACCCTGCCCTAACACCAATTACTTCTTGATTACTTACGCTTCTATTCTTTCATATGTAGACGCAAGCCCCCTAGTGACCAAAAACTTTTGCATTTTCTTGCCCATCAGTCTCAACTAAAGCAGGCCGTATGTTGAGGCAGAAACCCTTAACCAGCCTGAGCCTAAGCCGTAGCGGCTTCACCTGTGGATTTCGACATTTACGAAGCTGTCCTTTTCGTGCATGAGTTTTTCTCGTAGTTTCTAGGCACACGCAACCTTTTCCAACTCTCAAAACTCACAGCTTCCTATCGTGTCTTAAAGGCACGGTTCACGATAAAAAATGTTACCGAGTTCTTCCTTTAGGAATAGTCAGCGCCTCCCATGGGTGGTAGAAGGGACCTTCTCGCTCCCACAATCTCGGCGCTTAGGGTATAGTGGAAGCCCCGTTGCTGCCGTAGTTCGCTTTCCCGCCCCTCGATCGGTGTCACGTTAGGCGAGTGTCGAGACAATATAGATTGCTATTATTCGTTCTAGGACCCACATACAATCAGCTAATCGCCGAGTGATGAGGCGATGTTTCTCTCCCATTCTTTTTTCCTCTGTTTTTCTTTTTGCTGCCGCGATCCCTTATTTGATTTCCTACTCCTAGAGGCTGAAAAAGGTGAGCTATTTTTGCTGTTACTAGGGTTTTTTGTTTATTTATGCGTATAAGTGAATGAATTTTTGTTTCTATTGTCTGTTATTCGCACCAGGACCCACACGCGCGCAGTGAAACACACTGTTTAGCTCGTCCGGGCGCCCCACTCTCTTCATTTTTCTGGTTTCATTCTCGTCCAGCCCCCTTTTTAAAGGTTTTTCGAAGCCTTTTTTCACTTTGGAAACACCGATGCACGCAGTTTCTTCACCTCAGTCGCACTAGTTTCGATCTTGTCTTCCATTTTTCATCATAATCTGAATCACCCAAATTTATCGTGAACTGTGCCTTTAATGTGAAATGATAACCACTGGTTCCAGGTAAATTTTACCCCTGGATTTTATTGCTTTTGAGGGAGTGTTGAACTAAACTGAACAAGTGCTTCGTCTCAGTAGAAACTGAAACGTGCACGTGTAGAGCATCGTTCCCATTCATGTTTATATTGGAACCATTTCTTGTAATTGTAATATGTAAATAAGCCTATTTGAATTTGAATCAGCACCATTGTTTCGCCTTCACCAATACTAGGCAAATTGAGTAGACATTGAACTTTCACTATGGCCTTTCACATGAAAGCAGGATGGTGTCGCTCGAGTGGCTCTGTACCGCCACCCATGGCTCGAAAGATGGAATCTCGGTGGGATCATGGTTACAGCAAATAGAGCATAAGTGGAAGAGTTCTAACACTGTCTATCTACGGCTACATCTGTTGATGAGATGCATTGCGAAAGCATGGAATCACTCGCGAACGATCATCAACTTTGGTGAATGCTTATACCCTCTGAAAAAGTACATATTCAGGATATCTCGTTGGCGATTCCTTGACATGGGCTGATCTTTGGGTAGCCGATATAGCCACATGGACTAAGAAGTATCCATCTCTCTACGATGGCTTCCCAGAGGTATCCTTTTATGCCACAGTGATTATACTTAATTTGAAGTCAGATCTGGCTTAGCATGAACGCCAGGAAAAACATGGAAAACTTAAATTCCCGTGGTCATCGTCCTGAAAGTTGTATTTTTTAGATGAAAGCACATGCTGAGAAGATTCGTTCGATCCCTGCTGTGCAAAAATGGCTGGAAGTCCGTCCAGATACTTATTTCTAAACTGAACCAGAAATAAGATTTGACTAATAAATCGTATCGATTGTTTGAAAACTGTTTGTAAATTGCTTGGATTCGAAATTGACTGATGTTACGAAATTCAAAAAAGGCTCCAAAGGCAAAGTTTACGAGGTACCCGTTTTCGTTCGAAAAGCGGAAGTGTAGATTGGGAATAGTTCATCGGTAATGAAGAAAGCGAGAGAATTCGCCGATTTTGATAAAACTATGGCTCTTAAATGTGGGTAAAATAGGTTGGACGTGATTACCATGACGGAAATAACATGGAAGGGGTATTCGGACGAGATTTCAGTTATTGCAATTGCACAAAGAGCTGCCTACATCAAGCCAGAACTGTACGGAACTGTCTTCCACTGTCGCTATGGGTCACGAGAAATTGTTTGAACTTCCTACATGGGTTCCCTCGTGATCGGTGCAGCATCTACAATGCCGGTGAAACTCGTATGAGTATACACAAGGGCCAATTTTCAAGCCTTTATAACTGCCTAACTAGGCCGTTTTCCGACCTAGTAGTGCTAGATGTGGTATATTCATTGGCGTGGCCCTCAAATCCATTGTTGGGGGAATCTCAGAAACCATTTTTATAGTGAACTGTGCCTTTAAGAGAAGTACAACCAACAGGAGTTACATTAAGGGTTTTTATAGATACTTCTTCTTCTCCCTTGCATTGATCCCGCACCGTCGCTGAATCCGCTGCTGTCAGCCGTCTACACTGCCTTCTATCTGCGTCATGTTCTCCCTTAATTTTGGTTTCGGCAAGGACCTTTTTGATCATGACCCACCTCCTCTCCGTGGAGCTTACCTTGGTCTCTTTCTTGAAAGTTTGAATTCCATTGCCTCCCCTATGGGATGATTTTGGGGCTTTCTCTGTGTATCCGTAACGTTGCAGTCGCTGTTGTCCCATATTTAACTGGACATGTGTTGCTTGCACTATGGAAAAAAATGGCTGGGGGCTTATCCTAACCTTGCTTTTTTAGGCAGTTAGATGTGTTTATGACCGTCTTGGACCTATCCACCAATTTCCTTAACCAGTGAGAACAGGTGTTACGGAGCGTTCTCCCAAGGAATTTTCGTGGAAGACGGTCAAAAACCTTCTTCAAATCAAGGAAAGCCACGTAGCTGGGACGTTCTTATCGATCCTTCTCCATCCTTATCTAGCTATGAGTTCCGGTATACGCTGGAATGGCGGTGGACACCTTCGCAACATGAAGCGAACTGCCCTTGCGAGGTCGGGACCAATAACTTCGATCTTGAGTCGGCTAGCCGCTTGTACAGTTTCATTGTGGAAGTAGTCAATTTGATTCTCCGTTAGCGGGGAAGCTCCATCGCGTTTCTTGACCTCAATTGGTTTTTCAAGCTCGCTGTCCTCCACAGATCTCACTCCAGAATACAGCGAGCTGCCTGATGATAGGCTTGAGCCAGCCCAAAGACGATCTCCTTCCCATCGAACTTTTCCTACAAGATGTTAACTTCCTTTCTCTTTGCCTTCACTACGGCAGTTTGGAACTTCTCGCAGCTACATAGTTCTTCTGCAGCTTGAGTCTTCTATCAGCGCTTGTTGCGGCTTTCTTATTCTTCACAATCCTTCATGCTACAGAACCACACGCCCCTTTGTCTCCTCTGAATCCACCTCGAGCTATACCCAGCGATACATTTGCACACTGTAGGTTGATCTCTTCAGCGTAATTTCGAGTCTCTTGAATCCGTCCTTGGCGATTTATGGATCGAATTCCAAAACTCTCCATTCGAGAACATTCTTTTTTTTNTTTTTTTTGGATTCACTGGATACTCAAATTCATTCTCATCCTCGCTTTTTTTGACAACTTTTCGAACCAAGATTAATAGTGCTGTTAGAACTTTCTATTCTACAGTATAGTTGAAAATCATCACAGTGGAATCTGCAATATCATCTTAGAACCAATGTCATCAGTTTTTTCGCTTAGTTTGGGAATGGTATTCGTTTCCCGCCCTATCTATGAGAAAGTATTCTGGAAAGAGTCTTCGCAGAGTTTCCGTGACGTTTTGCTGACATAACACTGATAAATGACGTCTTATCACTCCAAAGCTTAGAAAGGTTACAAACTTTGTCGGTCACAGGTCGTCACGAAGGGCTGATAAGCGACCTCCAGTCGCTGTATAAAGGGTCACTTGCCGTTGCTAGACATTATACTTGCTCAGCCACAAAATCGAACAAGGCATCTTTTTCTTTTCAATCCAGTAGCATTTTTTCTTACTGGGGTCAAGGTCTTGCAGTTAAAGTTCAAAATTGATGCATAAAATAACTGTATGAGCAGTTTCATTTCGCAAGCTATTCAGAAGGGATGTATACCTTTCTAGTGTCAATTCTGGGGAAAGTTTTTTCCTGTGGTGATCAGCCGTTTCTGGAGTATCTATATACGACAACTCTGAGGAAAAAGATTTTTTTTTCAGAAAATCGGGTATCTACGATAGGACCACTTCATCCATTACGCTTTCTTTGGATTTCTTTCTACACTTCTACGCAATTTCAGTCTATAGCGCTATAAAAGTTACATTGATCTCAAATTTTCGTTTTGTGCGAGTTATGGAAAAAACATTTCATCAGCAAATGTTAAGGAAAACAAATTTTTTAGAATGGTTAAATACAGACTAGAATACTTTGACGGTCGTGGTCGTGCCGAGATCATTCGTCAGGTGGGATAATATTCTTATCAGATGCAAAAGTCTTTTGACATCAGTTTTCGAGCAAATAAAAATTTTCTGAAGAGAACTTCTTCGGCTCACAGAAGGTTTGCAGATATTCGCCGTCGCTGGACAGAGCTTCGATGATGTGCGGTACAGTTTTGAGGAATTTGCAAAGCACAAAGCAGGTTAGCTTTTCTAGTGCAGGGGAGCAGTTGGGCAGAATAGAAAGAGTTTCTTGACTTTATGCATTTATACATCGATGCATTTTTCAGATCTACCTTTTGGTCAGTTGCCAGTACTTGAGGTTGATGGAAAACAACTCGCCCAGTCATGTGCCATCGCTCGCTATTTGGCTAGACAATTCGGTAAGCGGGATCTACTAAAAAGTCAGGAAAACTATGATTACAGTCTGCTTAAGGTCTTGCTGGCAAGAATGCTTTCGATGAAGCGGTCGTGGATTCGATCGTTGACCAGTTTAAGGACTACTTTAGCGAAATTCGTCCATTCTTCATGGTTTTGCATGGATTTGAAAAGGGCGATCTGGTGAGGACTGCAAAAATGTTGCTAACCATGAGGCTGCTGTTTCACTTCTTACTGTCGTTAAATTGAGCCTCACGCTGAAGTAGCTGAAAATACGCTATGTGAGCAATAACCGTTTTAGGATGCTGCGTACAGAGATGTTTTCTTGCCAAGCAATAAGGCCTTCTTCACTCTTATGACAAGGATCCTCATGAACACCAAGTCAGGTAAGTGATTTGCTTCGGATGCTTTGAAAAAGACAAAGTGGTAAGGTAGCGCAAAGTTCAAGCCCAATATCCAGTGTTCATTGAAAGTGGTACTTACGCAATACAGGCTGCTCGTATGCTGCTTTGGGAAACTTGTACTTACAATTAGTGTGGTCAAAGAAGAACCATGTCTACAAAGTGCCATTTTCTGTTTCGATTGAATGCAGGGTGCACTCCAGCTCTTTATGTGATGATAGGAAAGCTCCACTGTCCCTATCATAATTGAACCTAGCATCTTTCGCATTATTTTACTACTACTTGCACTTACACCCACCACCTCTTTGCTAGTTGCGCATTCTTCCATATGTCTACATGGGACCATAGGGTTCAATAACTCTTCCACTATCTTGCACATCAGTCTGAGTTTGAGCAGACCATGTTTTCGATTCGACGGCTAGCACCCAATTTGAGCAGCTTCAATTGTGAATTCCGTCATTTGCGAAGAGGTCTCAATCGTGTTCGAGAAATCCACTCGTAGTTCCTGAGCATTCATAGCCTTTTGTTACCTTCGGTACTCACAAAATTCCGAGCGTGCTTGAGCGTAGAGTGATGACCGCCGGTATGGTAGTTTGGCATCATTTTCAATCCGTAATGCTCGTAAATTTTCTCGGGTGTTGAGCCACATACGAACGCTCCGCTTTAGCATGTACTGAAATGCTAACTTCCACATCATCGTTCTCATTTAATTTATCATCTGGTCCATACATGTGATACTGTAAAGAAAAGACCCTGTTCCCACTATACACAACCAACTTGCTGCTTATTAGTGACGATCAGCTGGTGAGATGTTTTCAGGTTCTGGGGAAGATTACGGTTGCGGCAAACAAAGATAAAAAGATATTATCGGTGTTGATGTTCAGCTGACATGAGTTGATAAAATATACTGCGTATGATGAGTTCTTGTATTTCTTAAAGAAAGTGTTCAGGATTCCTAGTTGGTGACTCCTTGACTTGGGCTGATCTCTTAGTAGCGGAAATAGCCACATGGGCAAAAAAGTATCCGTCTCTCTATGATGGCTTCCCTGAGGTACCATTTATTTCCCATGTGACTATATTCATTTTGTTGCGGGAGCCCCTATCTCCGTTGTCTACTTGAAGGTTCTGCTTTTCAGATGAAGGCGCATGCTGAGAAGATTCGTTCAATCCCTGCTGTGAAAAAGTGGCTTGCTATTCGTCCAGATACTTATTTCTGATTGGAATCTAAATAAAGTATTGACTGATCATATCGAATATTTGTTTGTTTATAGAGAGATTTGGTGACCCTATTCAAAAAAAAGGGCAGAAGATTACAACTATCAGAAGTCACAACAAGAATGTCTATAACACAGTGTGCAAAAAAAAGAACAATTAATTGACCTAAAAGAAATCATCAAAAAATTCCCACGCTCCGAAAAGGATGATAGACGTGCTCTAGATGATAATTTATTTATTTATTCATTTATTTATTACATGAGGCATTTTATGTAACGTCGGAAAGCAAAAAAATATCCAGGGATACTGAAAGCATTGGAGAAATAACAGCATGGGAGCTGTAAAAACAACACATAAAAATGAAAAAAAAATGTAAAGGGGCAAATATTATAATTAGGAGGTGAGGTAAATACACTAGGGAGTCGTCACGGTTCTAGGTATTTATCAAGGAATTTATTGAAAGCACAAGTATTAGGCGGAATGCTCTTCCTTCGGCTTAACTTGGTGAACATCTTGTAAACACGATTTATGAAAAAATGAGACGTGCAATTACGTCGACTCCTAGGGAGAATAAGTTTGTACGCATCACCTTTGGTGGTAGAAATCTTCCCACTACAAAGGTGAGATTGAGACGGGAACCTCCGAAAAGGATTTTATGGAACATTTATGAGTCCAATTTCTTTCTACGCCAATTATGCGAGTGGAGTCCTTGCCTTAGCATGAAGAAAGTTGTCATATTGAAATCCGATAGCTCTTAACATGAGTTTCCTGGTGAATCTGTTCTGAACTCGCTCAATGAGCACGACAATTTTGCTCCAGTGCGCATTGAAGATGACAGTATCATACTCAACCAAGTGCTTTATATAGGACTTATAGGCTAAAAGGAGTACATAGGGATTGCTTGTGGTCAGAGCTCTGAATATTCTGTAGATAGCATGACCCGCTTTACGCGCTACTTCTTCGCATATGACTGTCAAAACACAGTTCAGGAGTTAACGCGAACCCTCGATCAACAATTTTAGCAACTGCTCGAACCCGTCAATGTAGTACAAAGTTGGACTTGAGGTAGAAAGGAACTTACGCCCAAATCGCATGACTTTGATTTTCTCCTTGGAGAGAGGGAAGCCTAATTTTTGGTCCAGGAGTAGGCAGCGTCAGGAGCCTGTTGTAGTATAGCGCAATCCTTTCCAGTGGTTATTTGCCTGTATATCTTCATGTCGTTAACGAATGCAATGCATTGAGCTCTACAGGATAAAATCGAACCCTGCAATCCACGCGTATAGATATTGAAAAGAGTAGGTGATAGGATCCCTTCTTGGAAGACTCTGCTAAGAACATTTCTAGGTTCAGAAAAAGCCACATTGACTATCACAATATTTTAAACGGTCAGTGAGGAAAGCCCTAGTCCAAGCTATGATGCGAGAGTGAATACCTACAAGTTGTAGTTTATATAACAATTTACAATGAGGTACTTAATCGAAAGTTCTAGAATAATCTAGGTAAATGACATCAGCGGACCTACTCCTATCAAGATTGGATGTAAAATCATTAATGCTACAGAGCATAGCTGCGACCGGAAATTTACCCCTCTGGAATCCATGTAGATTCAAGGGATTATAGAGTGGGATAGGAGATGAGCCTCGATCTTTTTTTCAAGATCTTCTCGAAAAGCCGCACGAAAATGGATGTAATACTAATGGCACGGTAATTAATGGGCGAACTGGACAAGCCTTTTTTGGTATTGGAGCAATAAGAGAAAGCCTCCATTTGTGAGGGTCCTCAGCTCTCATGAGGTGACTCAATAGATACGCAATGGGACCAGCTATAACATTAGCCACTCCCTTGGTAAACTGGAGAGGTATGCGGTCCCAGGTAGTCGAATAAGACGAAGGTCATTTGGGAAGTAGGAAGAAAGTCTCTTTTGCGCTGAACCAAACGAAGTCCTCTATCACAGATTACAGGAAAACAAATTGAGGTAGTAACCCGACAGTATCATCAGTAGTGGTAGAGACCCGGGCAAAAGACTGCTCAAATACGCTAGCCAAAAATTCAGCTTCAGCCTCATCTGAGACTGCAACACTGCCATCATCGGCAACTAATTTCGGATAAGCATTTCTGGATTTAAGTCCGGTATTGAGCAGGTTGAAGAAAGATTTGTCTTCACTCTAGATAACTTTCTTTTCGACATTGTTGTTACACTTCCAAATTTTTTTGTGAAAGCGTTCACTCAAGATTCGATACATTCCCAATCTTCAGCTTCATCAGACAAAACAGCTCTCTCCCAAGCAGCTGATCTCTTTGTTGAGGGAGTATAGAGATAAGGAGGAAGGCGTTTCTTACAGAGGATCACCGTAATTGTGGGCACAAATAACTCGATGGAGTAATAGTGATACAAAACTGACAGATATAAGTCATACTTTTCATTTTTGCTATCCACAGCGTCCAGGGACCCATACCAATCCACTCTGTTCAGATAGGTATTGATCAGAGCATATTCGCAGCATTATAATCGTACTTGACCATTAGCAGCGGTTGAGCATGATCGACTTTAATACGGAGCCTTAAGGAGGAAAGGTCACTTGAACGAATAGGTGGCCCAGCTTCCATCGCATACGAGAGTCGATATTACGTAAAATTAGGTCCAAGGTTTGTTCTCTGAGCGTATTCGTCTTTGCAAATTGAGACAACAAATGCAAGGATTACATCTCCAAAAAAGATTTGGACACGGGACTGGTGGCGGTGGGTGTTGGAGACCAAACAATATCAGGTAGATCGAGGTAGCCACGAATGAGACAGTAACGTTCGCATAAAATTTAATCGCGAATCGCTTTGAGCAACTGCTCCGATACTGACTTTGGGCAATTCTGTATACAATAAAAAAACGAGGAAACGAAGAAGGGCATCATTAGCTACCAAATCATAACTCAATAATTCGTAACCGTTCAGAATGGATTCTTTGAAAACAGTTACAGAAGAAAGGCATTTCCGAGCAAACAAAGCTACCCATCCCCCTTTCTTCCTGCTGCGATACCGCTCAATATTTCGTATTGTGATAAATATTCCCACAGAAGCGATTGCATGTCAATCTTGGGATTAAGCCAAGTTTCAGTGAGCAAAACAATGTCAAAAAGGTAAAAGTTGAGCAAGGATTGAAGAGCAAACCTGTTTCTGATCAATTATCTTATATTATATATTATTAATAGAATTGATATTACACTACCACATCCTAGTGTCCGATGAAAACTTCCTAGTTTGACACTTCATTAACCGAAAGTGAGATGGGATCAACTGAGGGAATTGCAAGTCGAGAGTCGTTGATAACATGTGTTGTAGACGCGTAGTCAGAGCTCTTTGAAGCAGACTGTGATGAGATAACTATAGACTCACTACGACGAGCTTCACGTTGAGCCCGAATTCTATCTCTCCCCGCTTTGGAGAAGGACGCCGGTTTGTATAGGTCGGGAACTTTATAATGCTTCAGACAGGATGCTCGCCGCTTTGCGAAGAAAGAGGCAGGAAATAATGTTTTCAATAACCTAGAACGATTCCTACTGAATTGGCCTAAACGGTAAACAGCCATTGGTGCGCAATCAATAGATAAATCATCAAGCACACCGCGTATGCAGTGAATATCATAAGCAACATTTGCGGAACATAATTGTCTTCAACAACTACAGAAACTGTAATCGAACGACTACGCTCAATCTCTTCAATGGATCGATGACTAACAAGTGTAGTAGGTGGGCTTACTTGCTGTGAGGAATGGACTGAGGAAACGTTCTGAGAAGAGGTTTTGTTCCAAGAGTGAATTTTCATGCCAGAGAAACTTAACCTCTTCTGTGAATTCCCTACACAATTACACAATTGCCTGAGTTTGCTTCCTATCACGAATGAGGTAACTAAGGACCATACTAAGATGAAGGGGCAGACATTCATCTTCCTTCAATGCGGCCATGTGATTATCGAGGTCATTTGTTGGAGTAGGTGACGGCTCAAGATCAGTCGCATGTCTTTGTTGGGCTCCCTTGCATTGAACCTGAAGAAAACTAGGCGCCAGAGGGGTGTCCATAATGCAGTCGGTTGATGAATCCAATGAAATCAAAGAATCAATAGACCTCGAGCGGTGGCTCGCTTTGAAAAATACAAAAATCAAACCTCCAGCCAGCAGTTTCGACTGCGAGATCAAACGGAAAACAGCCGATAGTATAATCGATGAATCCCAATGTCCACGCGAGGCCAAAAACAAGAGAAAATTCTGAAAATGAATCTTTATGTGTGGCAAAGTTCTTCATAGAAATCCTACCCTGCCACGTAGGCGCTAACACAGACCAGCGATGAAATAGGAGCGGTAGAACAGGCCGAAATCCGAACACATCAAACTTAGAAGAGTCAAAATCGAGTTAGGATTGGAAGCGCAAATAGACACAACCGCGCGCGGTAGCCGCAAGCCTGCGAATGATATGCTCCAGAGAAGGAGCATCGACACTGAATGTTTAGGTAATGCTGGATGATGTCTTGATGAGGGCGCATAGGACAGCAGAGCGCTGTGCCGCAAGATTTGCTCCTCCACGGCCATGCTAACTGCCAGAGTTTTCGCTGCGGGAGACTCCGTTGGCAAAGTGCCAGGGAATTAGCAGTTCAGCAAAGAAGTTTAGCAAACGAAAATTCAACAAGGAGTGGAAACCCGGAAAGCCGAAATCGTTAAGTAGTTACTGATACCTTTCGAAATTTGCTCAATCTTCAACGAAAGCGTAAAACGAAAGTTTAATGTGCATGATTCCCTGACATATAACCTACAATATTACTGTTTGTGCAATCCCAATTCTCACACAAGGTGAACATGGACTACTTCCAAGAGAAGAAAAAATTATTGGCCGGATCGTGCTGGTGTCCGCTATAAATGTGATTGAACTTGAAATATTAAAGTAGTTTGAAAAATGTCTATTACTGAATGTCCTACCATAAATTTGCACAAAGGGATGGAGCTTGTTTTGTAAAGAAG